TTTTTCTGTGTTTTACCCTCAGTTACTTTGACACAAAGGCATCTTCTGTGTTGCTTACACCTCTGATGAAGTCTCACAAGTGCCAGTATTGATAAATGATCAGAATTATAATATCTCTGACTGTCTGGGTCAAAATTGAATTGAATTGAATCGAATCATGGATCGAATTGAATCGGGACCTTGTGAATTGGAATTGAATCGAGTCTAGAAATCAGTGACGATATGATACTCTGTCTCTTGTTTGTTAGAGCTTCAACCTTTTGGATGGTAAGGTGAACATGGTATTCACAGAGAGATTTCTGTAAGTGGTCCTGAACCCCTGCAGTGATTTTCCACAACAGAATCCTGCCTGCTTTTAGTGCAGTGTCACATGAAGCCCGAATATTGAGATTTCTCCAGATTTTGGAATATTTTGATAATATTATATAGCCTACTGAAGATGGCGGCACATTCAAACTCTTTACAATTATAGTATATTCAGTTTACTGGATGGTAAAAATTAAATCTAGGTGTATGTCACTGCATGCACAGAGACAGACTACATATATCAGCTTTGAATTACAGAGTATTGTTATTACTGGACATAATGCATAAAATGACAATATTGTACTTCACTAACTTTAGCACCATGTTTATGAAAATCTTCAGTTACTCACCGTTTTCTTGTTGCTGAGTCTTTTGGGTACCACGCAGCTGCCACCTTGGGTGAAAAATAAAAACCCACTCAGTAATCAATCGAATCCTCAGATAATCGATTTACAAACAGATTTGATGTGGTTATTGGGTTATTGGTAGAGAAGATGCCCTTGCACACCTGTATCATGTTGATGACATGGTACGGCAACCAGAACAGGCCAAACATTATGACGATAGCCAGGATAAGTTTCTCGCTGCGGATATTTCGTTGAAACCTGGTCTCCCTCAGGCGTTTCAGGATGAGAACGTAGCTGGTTATAATGATTGCATAAGGAATAATGAATCCTGCCACTGTCTGAAAGGCGTACTCAAACCTCACCTGCACATGAGAGGATATAAAGAAAAGCTGTTTCCTTAGATATTAAATGAAAAACAAAGAAATAGAGCCAAAATTATGAAACTGTTTAAACTGATCAACTTCTCTGGGGTTTTTTTTGTCAAATGAGAGGACAAAATGAAACATCTGAAGACCTAAAATCAAGTAATGTTGTTATGGTCTTTGATCTGAAAAGGGCCATTCTGCAAAATAAATCATTTTACTTTATGTAGTTTTAGAATATTTTGATTCTAATTTGATTCTGATTTGCCACCTTACTTAAGGAGGACTTTTACTTGTAAAGAAGGAATGTTTTACAGAAGAGCATTACTACATTTATGAAGGATCAATGCAAAATGATTTTCAGAATTTTGTGCAGTGCCACTACCCATGCATCAGTATTTATGGTGTGGGCTCAAGGGCTTAAAAAACATGCAGTCTGGTGTAATTTGAGTTATTTTAACTACATTTTGAACACTAGTTAAGCTGCAGCTTCCAAGGCCTTAAACACAGTAACAAACACATCTGCAATATTTCTTTCCTCTCACTTTCAGATAGTGTGTTCCCGTTAAAATAGGCAAATGTTTTAGCTGTCTAATTGTTCATGAAATCATATCTAATAAAATGTAGAGTATTATAAGAGTATTTTTTGACACGGTAGTTTTTATCAATAGTTACAGTTTAAACAGGGAGATATACTACATTTCAGGAGAAATAAACAAACAACCAAAATATCCTCCTTTAATCTGAGAATGTAAGTCATTTTTTCCCCAACAACATTTAACCAGTCTTTTAAAGAACCATTTTTTCTTTTATTAATTAAGTCATGAATGAAGAATTCTGGCCCTTTTGCTCAAAGCGTGATCATGTTCAATACCTCATTCACTATTTCACTGGCTCTCACATGCAGAAGGTTTTTAGAAGGCATTTTGATAATGGAAACAAATATGGTTATGAATCTAATCAGATCAGTGGCAGACAAATAACCAACACAAGTGTACTTACATGTCTACGCAGTGTGTGATTGGGTGCACACACATATGTTGTTTGATTCATATCATCAGTTTCTTCTTTCACATCTCGAAACACCAACGAAGGAATGGAAATGACCATCACTAGCACCCATGTGCCTAGGATCACCCTCTTCACAACCTTCCTGGTGATCAGGTGATACAGTGTGTGTGGAAAGACCACGGCCAACAGCCTGTTCACGCTCATCAGGGTTATCAGAAAGACTGATGCATACATGTTGGAGTTGCACAGGTAGAACACAATTTTGCACATGGTGTTACCAAAGACCCACGACTGCATGGCCAGGTAGATGATGAAAAAGATGGTGAGAGCCATGAGGAACCCATCAGCACATGCCAAGTTGAGGATGAGGAGGGTGGTGACTGAGCGTTGGCGTATGCGGGCCAGGATGCTCCAGACAATGAAGAGATTTCCAGGGACACCCAGGAGGAAGACCAAGCTGAAGATGAGGGCACCAATGGCTGCGGAATAGTCATTTTTCACAGCATTTTCCTCATCAGGGTCAGGAGTAGTCTTTGGGCCAGTCAGGAATGAGACACTTATGTTGTTCATGCTAGATGAACTTTTGAACCTGAAAGAAAAACCCATTGGTTTTCTTTGACTCTCCAATTGAAACATGAATTACTAGTCAAGAAAGAGCTTCAACATACATACTTAACAGACATATTCCCTACGTGCACTTATAAAGCTTGGGTTTTCTCTAATCCACATAGAGTCAAAAGTATATGCAGAGTCAAATTTATATGTACACCTCCACTAATATTTGTTTAAATATCCCTTAGCAAGTTTCACCTCAACCAAGGCTTTTGCTAGCCATTAACAAGCTTCTAGTATAATTGTGGATAGCTATCTGATCATTCTTCTTGGCATAAATAGTAGAGTTAATTTAAATTGGTGGATTTTTTGGTATAGACACAACTTTTAAGCAGAGATCAAAAAAATTCAGTAGCGTTGTGGTCAGAGATTTGGGGAAACCAGTCCCATCACGCTGTGTTTTCTCCACGCTCCAAGTTCCCTGTGTTCCCAGTAGGGCTGCCACGATTAGTCGACTAGTCACGATCACGTCGACTATCAAAATCGCGACGACAAATTTAATAGTCAATGTGTCGTCTTGTAAGATCCTGAAAGACGCAGGAATAATTACAGTTGAACCCCGACTTACGAAATTAATTTGTTCCCGAGGGTCCTTCGCAGGGCTAACACAGAGAGACAGACAACCATTTGCACTCACACCTATGGGCAATGTAGACTAATCAATTAACCTATCCCCACAAACTGTATGTCTTTGGACAGTGGGAGGAAGCGGGAGTACCCGGAGGGAACCCATGCAAACACGGGGAGAACATGCAAACTCCACACAGAAAAAACACAGCCTGATGGTGGAATTGAACTCAGGACCTTCCTGCTATGCAGCAACAGTGCTAACCACCCTTCCACTGTGCTGCCTCAGTAATTAATGCTGCAATCTTAAATTTGATCAACCTATCTCTAATAATTGGTACCACAGGCCTTCAAGCTGTCACTAATTAAACCATTACTTAAAAAGCCATCTCTAGCTGTCTTAGGCCTTCCTTTGATCTAAAAACGTTTTGAAAGAGTAGCTGTTGAACAGCTGACAGATCATCTGCAGAGGAATGGTTTCTTTGAAGAGTTTCACTCATCTCTGTGCTTGTTCTGCTAGACCTCAGTGCAGCGTTCGATACTGTAGACCATAATACTTTATTACAGTGATAAGAGCATGCTGTATATATATTAAAGTACTGTGCTGCAGTGGTTTGAATCATATTTATCTAATAGACTCCAAATTGTTCTTGTAAATAAAGAGTTCTCTTCACACACTAAGGTTAATTATGGAGTTCCGCAGGGTTCAGTGCTAGGACCAATTCTGTTTACATTATACATGCGTCCTTTATCCGGTATCATCAGAAAGAATCGCATACAGTTTCACTGCAATGCAGATGAGACCTAACTTTCTCTTTCCATGAAGCCAGATGATACACACCAATTAGTTAAACTGCGGGAATGTCTTAAAGATATAAAGACCTGGATGACCTCTAATTTTTTTGCTTCTAAATTCAGATAAAACTGAGGTGATGTACTTGGCCCTAAAAATTTTAGATCTAACCAGATTCTTAGAGCTGGATCAGGTGACTCTGAATCCTCCCTTAGTTAGGTTGCAATAGGCGTAGGATGTTGAAGGATTGTCATGATTCATGGGAAGTATTTCTTCTTCAGTCATCTTTTTCTACATCTTTTTGTACAGAAATAACTCAAAAATAAAAACAATTGTTGGCTCACACCTTACTACTGTACTGCAGCCTTTAAATTATTTACATCCAAGGCTCTAGCCAATGTTTCAGCATAATCTCATAAACACCATATTAAAACGCACCAAACATTGATATTAACAGCAAATACTGCATCGAAGAGCATTATTTCAACAGTCTTTGGTTCACATTGAAGTTTTTTTCCTTACTTGTGTCACTACAGTCTCTCACTGGAAGTGCAGTACAAGCAGTTGGCTTCTGAGTCAATTTTGCACACCGTAGTAAAAGCCTTTGTGTATCTGTGCACACTGACCACAAATAAATAAATACATAAATACATAAACGTGAGTGATGGAAGTTTATGGGTTCAGAAGTTGGTCATCATATCATGACATGATGAGAAGAAGTAATTTATTTTCAGGCATTTATTTGAGAACGAAATAAACGAGATGAAAAATTATCATCCACTTTAGAAAGTCTGAAAAGTAAAGAACTGCGAAAAAGCCAATAAATGTGCATCTAAGCATTCCGATAATGTGATGGGTTTTAAAAAAACATGTTATTTTGTATCAATAACTGACTTCAGAAAAATTGTTTTAAGATTTTTTTAGCTTTGAAATAAATTCACTTGTCAAAAAAATTGGGTGGTCCAGGGGTGGTCCAAAGAAACAGGTGCTAAGTGTTTTTGTTTATAATCCACTCACCTTTTCACGATGTATTTTCTCTTTGTGATATGTATATCGTTCAAAAATCCGCTGCTCACCAGCCCTGACAGTGCTCCTGTGAGCTCAAACTATAACATCTCGCCTCGCGGGTTGTAACATGCTGTGGTTTAAGGGAGCGCTTCAGAGAGGCGTGTCCTTCATTAAAACTCTCCCGCTCCCCTTTTCTGTCGAAACCTTTGTATTATCTCGATGTATGATTGTCCTGGGAATTTTTTTCTGTGCTAAAACAGTCTTCACTCTGTTATTATTTATAAAAAAGCATGCGTTCTTTAAGATAACGTGTTCCAGTGTGAGGTACCATAATGCATTTCTCTGTTTCCTGAGACGCTTTTCACCCTGAGTCAATTGTTATTAAAAGCACCCGAGGCGTATAGATAAAATTTAAAAGCTTGCATTTTAGAGAATAGGCACGCATAAGCAAAACATTCTTGTTCATACAAGTCTCTGTCACTGACAGGAATGCAGCTTTCCATGAAACGGGGAAGAGAGAAACTTTGGAGAAGCCCAACCCGCTCACGAACTGAGTGAATGACGCGGTTTTTTTCTTTTCTTTTACTTCCAGGAATTCCAGGTTATGCATGTCTACCTTTAGTGAAGCCATGTTTTTCGTAATCATCTGCTCTAAGCTGTTGAAATGGAGAAACCACATGTGCAGAACGGGTTGGCAAACCACAATCAATCAGATAACCTCAAATGCAACCACTAAACAAAATAAACAAACAAACAAAAATACTCGTTTTACTTTTCAAAAAGCTGTTCAATTAACGATTTTTCTACACTGCACTTCATCTGACAACCAAAGTAGCTCAACTGAGGGTGGCTACATTAACATCCTGTTACTATATCAGTGTTGTCACATCTCCTGAGCTCTCACCGTCAGTATCGATGTGTCAACCGTAACCACTGTGGTGATTACATCTTTCGTCAAACTCAGATGTCACACAGGTCTCAAGCACCGAGTTTATCCTGCTTGTGCCAGCTTTGTGGTCTAGTTAGTGCCACCACTGAAGAAACTAGTTTGATCCTGCCTGTCTTGGCTTAAAATAGTTACATTTCCTGGTCAAATAAAGTTTTAAAAATGTGATTTGTGAGAGTGATTCTATGGATTTTTGACGTTTTTTGGATTTTGAAACATGATTTATTTACATTAGCTCAACCTAAATATCAAAAACTGGGTAAATAACACCAAAATAACCTGGACTGGAAACTGGCATTCCATCATTTTGATGCAAATTGTCAAAATGATGGGTAAAAGACTTTAAGTGTTCAGGAAGACTAGAAAAGTTCCAGTCCCAAAACTCCAAAAGTCCAAGAAAGACCAAACAATTCATTATTTTGAAACATGTCAATGATATTTGGAGTGTATATCAATTGAAGGAGGGGGCTCTGATTGTAGCCGTGCAAGGTGGTCTTAAAATAACTGAGAATGGATAAAATGTTTTATAGAAATTGAAATGGTAAATATGCTTGATAGTTTATTTTAAGAGAAAAGTGAGGAAGTGGTTCAGTTTCCCAGCATGCCATTCTTCAATATGAAATTAGTTCATTCATTATATGTATTTAGTGTATTTAGCGGTTCCCTTATTCAGGTTTGTTTGCACCACTGAATAAAATGAAAAAGAGGCGAAAAAACCTGTTTGAGTGAATCAATCCAAATTTTGATAATAACTTGAGAATTTCAACAGCAAACGCCTTGTAATTTATTTGTTTTGTTTCTTTATTTCCGTAGTAGAAACAAGCCTCGATAGCCTCTGCCAGAAAAACTTTAGTATCAAACATTCATTTCCTGCCTGGTGAGTTTGATGCTCTAGTTTGATATTATTCTACATCAGTTTACAGTGAAAATGTGTTTATGTAAACAAAAATCAGACAGCGGGTGAAATTTTCTCACTTTTTCTTATGTATTATTTCTCTTGGTGTCACAGGTTTAAAATTCAGTCTGATGGTAGGATACTTTGTGTCTTTTAAGTGTGTCATGCATTCATGTCAAGAATAAATTAAGGTAAATCTCAAAAACAGTGGACTTTTATAGTGCAGATGTATTTTAGCAAAATCTCTGTCCATGTTTAAAAGCTTTCAACATGTTTAAAACAAGCCAAATGTAATAATTCTAAGGAATTCTCACCTCATCTCAACTCTGTGAGTGTAATTTTTTTTCACTCACTCTTGTCAGACTTTTCACACTTTCATCATGGGCATAGATATGAGTAACCACCAGCAGCATGATGATTTAGTGTTTCCTCACACCACAACGCACTTACATCTAAACTCACGCAGGGCTCAAGTGTTGAGTGTATCCTGCTTCTGCCGGTTTTTTCTGGTCCACTTATTCCCACTACTTGATGATACTGCCTATCATGACCTATAGGACATGCTTGCAAAATAATGTCTAAAGAGTTTTATTTTTAAGATTAAACTCTAAAAGTTGAACTTTTATTTGGGTAAGTAATTTTAAAATAAACTTGAGTGGAAAATAGCTCTACAGACCAAAATAAAAACAGATCATTTTGATTTGAATGTAAACGTGTGCAGTGCTTTGTGTCGTCAGTAAAAGTGGAAAAGTGCCGTCCAAACAATTAAGTACTTGGAAATTTGTGTATAATATTTTTAGTTTGTAGTTTTAGTTGAACTAAAAGTGTAAATTAGAAAAAAAGTAAAACAAGGAAGTAATTTAGTTTCTCAGAACCATCTGTCACCCTTCAAGATGAACTCGGTGTGCTCATCCTATACAGTAAACATTTAGTGAAAGATGTGATGGTCCTTTTATTGAAGTTCATTGTCTTTCATTTACAAAATAAACTGAGGGTTTCTTTTTATTAAACATTTTAAATAAACCTCAATTTCAATTCAATTTTATTTATACACCGTCAAATCACACCAATAGTCATGTAATAATATACTTTATTGATCCCTGTGGGGAAATCACTTTTGTTTTTCTTCGCATTTGACCCATTCACTCAGTGAAGCAGTGGGCAGCCACTAAGCAGGCCCCCGGGGAGCGGTGTGCAGGGACGGTACCTTGCTCAGGGGTACCTCAGGGTAGCCGTTCAGTGGATTCGAACCACTGACCTTCTGATCATGGGGCGACCGCCCCCCTATGAGCAAGCACTTTGGCGACAGTGGGAACGAAAAACTCCCTTTTACCAGGAGGGAACTGCAGTCATCTGCCATGACTGGCTTGGGTGAGGAGAGGAAGGCAGGATGAAAGAGATGCTGTGGAAGAGATCCAGAGATAGTAATAAATAATGATTAAATACAGAGAGGTCTATAAACACATTGTGACTGGAAATAGTGATTGAAGGAGAACTACTTCCCCCAGCAGCCTACACCTACTGCAGTATAACTAAGAGAGAATTCGGGGTCACCTGATCCAGCCCTAACTACATGCTTTATCAAAAAGGAAACTTTTAAGCCTAATACTAAAAGTAGAGATAGTGTCTGTCTCCCAAATCTAAACGGAATCTGGTTCCACAGAAGAGGGGCCTGAAAGCTGAAGGCTCTGCCTCCCATTCTACTTTTGAATACTCCAGGAACAACAAGTAGGCCCACAGTTTGAAAGCAAAATGCTCTAATGGAGTGATATGGCACTATGAGGTCATTAAGATAAGATGGGACCTGATTATTCAAGACCTTGTATGATTTTATGTGATGTACGTGATTCTGTGAAAATGTGTCTGTCTGGGACCAGCAGCCCCCTTAAAAGAAAGTATTATATAAAAAAATAAGAAGATTATCGACATTCACTGGATAACTTGATAATAGACCTGTGGCAGTCTCACCAACCCTTAGCTCAACCCCAACGTCAGCCAAGAAAACTAGTGAAGACTCAGCCTCCAGTAAACTGGGAGAAATAATTATTTGGGCCTCTGATGAATTTGTAAGTTTTCTCACTTACAACAAAATGAACGAAACGAAATATCAACCATGGTGGTGGAGTGGTTGGGATTGGTTCCTGAGTGGAGTGGTTCCTGTGTCGACAGAGCACAGGAACTTTATCAATCCCAGAGAGACACTGAGTTATAAAAGCAGCATAAAAAAAAAGACAGCAAATCTGATGTATAACAGAAATCATGTTGCCAAAATCATTTTACTGATCATTTTTGGTAAATTTCACTTTGAAAATTCACTTCGCTTTGCTTTTTAGGAAAGTTACGGTAAAATTATTCTAGCTTTCACCACACGAGGGCAACACATCCACGGGAATCATTCCTTCTGTGTCTTCTCCTCCCTTATACTTGACACTCAGCAGCTCCTCCTGTCTTTTGCACTCATCCATCATACTGCAGTGTTGCTTTAAACAATTTATTAGCCATTCAACTTTACAGTTTCACAGCCCTTTAAATCTTTCCATTTATAGCAGTGTCCTATCTCTGAACTGCTGGAAATGTACAGCACTGCTTACACATAGATTTTTAGGATTCAGTGTTTATAAGAGAGGACTTTTGTCATCTATGCAAAAAAAATAAAAAATCATTCAGAACATACACATGCAGACTGATTAATTACAATAAATGCTTATCCTCTAAGTGACAATGGACAATGCACATTTAGTTTTTTTATTTTATATCTTTATCAAAGTCTTAATCGATCTATCTTGATAACAGAAAGAAAAATAAAGCTGTTTAAAATAAATACCTGTAAACTCGCCTGAAGTGAAAATTATATAGGGGCGGAATGAGAGAGAGCAGACTAAATATATACTTTTTGTTGTTTTCCACACGACAAACAAGAAGAAAAGACTTTCCCCACCCCTCACCTCTTTTCTTGGATTATTTACTGCATGAAAAACACAAACCGTTGCATTAATTTCAGTGACACCGCTGTGTGAACGCAGTCCTGACAGCTCTGGCACTGGATTGACCCAGATACATGCAAATGCACATTGCAAGGAGATTACTATGTAATAAAAACATGTGGTATTTTCATTGTATTGTAAAGCTAGAGGAAGTCATTATAAAAAGGTGCAAAACTCTGTGTTGTTTTGTGGCCAAATGGGGGTTTCAAAAGGCAGGTTTATCTTACACTTTAAAACCCCCTGTACAACCTCAGGTGTATCGAGTAAGTTATAAAGGCATTCCTTTGTGTTTAGAAACTCAGTTGCAGTCAAATATAAGCATCTTTTGTCCAACTTGATATATATTTCCCCTAAAAACAGTGCTCTCTAGTGGCTCTAATAACTGTGGAGGAGCTCAGGGTCGTTTGATGGGTGGACGTGACCCTGAGAGAGTCCAAGATTTATTTAAGATGTTAAATAGAATATCTATCACTGTTATCTAGGGTGGTCACGATGTCAAATTGAAATTTCCCCTTGTGGGACTAATAAAGGTATATCAAATCAAATCAAATTTTTATTCTTGTCAAAAAGGGGTCACAACATTTGTTAAAAAAGCAACCTAAAACTAAACTGGATAAACAGCTGATAAATATATTATAATATGGATTGAAGCTCATCCTGTGAATCCTGTTATCCTATGCGATTTTGTGCCATGATATTGATGTTTCATTTTTAAATAAGATTATCATCAGTACTCGGTTATAATAGCGCCACTGATTCTAATTATGGGTGCTCCAAACAGGCCGTTTGTTTCATTAGGAGGAAATATTTAGCAACAATTAAGCCCTATGCAAGACCTTTTGGAAAATACTCGTTTCAACAGCTGGAGCAACTGGCTTCACATACTTCTGCTTTTGGAAAGGTACAGGAGGACTTTAAATATTAATCACACTGTCTGAAGCATGCTTTCACTCGTAGTTTGGACATTTTCTTGTCTCTTAGGAAAGCAGGAAACTAAATGGTTGATTAGAAAATTTCAACCACCATGAGGTCACCAATCAAACCTCTATGGGTTTTTTTCTTTACCACAGAGAAAACAATTTCCCTGATTATAACCCAATGGAGTCAGTGGGATTTTTTTCACCGTGGTTGTGTAAAGGTTTATCAAGTCTGAGGCTTGTAGGGCCTCAGAAATTCTTGTGCCTGCCTTGCTGGTCGCACTTTTTCCTCTCCCCAACCACACTGCAACATCTTGAAATCAGTCCAGCATCCAAGGCCTGCCCACACAACCCCAAGAGGATGACATAGAGAGTGAAACAGGCCCCCAGCTACACACCAGTATAACATACTCCTAATGATTGTGAGAACGAGAGGAGGCCGAGGAAGGAGGACAGAAGAGACAGAGTGGAGGGGAGGGGGCACTGAGAGCTGAACTGAGGCGGAGAGAGCCAGAGAGAGAGTGTTTATTTAAGTTTTTCGTCTCCTGACTCAGACAGAGAGCAGACTACAGAGGATAATGAGAAACAGACCTTTGGTGGAGAGGAAGAGGAGGGAGGCAAGACTCAGGAGAAGGAGGGACAAGGAGGATTCAGTGGGGAGAAGAGGGGAGAAAGAGCTGGGAGGGAAAGGGAAAAAAATGCAAGAGAAGAAAAGGGGAGGGGTGACAGCCAAAAAAGGGGGGCTGTTGTGTTCATTGCCACAGGAAATAGGCCCTCTTATGTTCACTAACTGACAGTTAACATCACAGCCCTGGTGGCCGTGCAGGCGGCCTATGGCAGGTTTCAGAGATAATGAACTTCTTGCCATGTGTCCTGCTCATGATTGGAATAATAATCATATTGTTTTGGGCTTAACTATGCGAAAATCTAATTGATGATAAGGATGATGAGGACATGACGTTGATTTTATAAGGAAAAGCTAAATGAGATGATGTAAATGATGCAAAATGAGACAAGAAAAGAGAAATTTGCATGGGATTGTTATAATAAGTGAATGTTAAGTGAACGACTTCAAGAGAAACCTTCAGAGTGAGCGAGGCAGGGGGAGAGGAGGGGGGCAGGAGGTTGGGCAGAGGGGATTCATGACTGACAGACATGAGGTCCTATGGGGAATGAGTAACGGACCAACTGGAGCTGGGAAACCCACCCAAAGGCAATTAAGGGTAAAGGACGACAAAAATATTTGATAAACTTTTTTCCCTCCTCCCAGTCTCTTGAAGAACTAGAAGAAGAAGCTACAGGGATGACGATGGAGCTAGAATGAAAGAGCCGACGGTATTTTGGAAATATGATTCGGAGAAGACTGTAAATTATCCGGAGCGAAAATTTGATTTGGATATCAAGACATCAAGTCTGGAAAAACTTGCAAACAAGGAGGCAAGAAGCAGAATTTTTCGCGTAGAAAGTTTCTGAAGCAAAACTTTCCTACATATCCCAGATGAGGAATATTAGCACAATGACACGCACTTAGGAGAAGAGTTTGGGGAATAAAGTTCCTTTGAATTCTTTTTAAAGGCGCACCAAGGGACGTTAAAATCGCCTGACGCAGGGAGACAAGATTGTATCAGTATATCTGTATCCTGTCCTTGCTGCCGGAGGGCGATGGGGGCCGCGCCGGGCTCGGGCTGGGAGGAGGGAGAGTTCGAGTTCAAGTTGGTTTTTGAGGAGGATCCGCCGTCGCGGCAGAGCCAGGGTCCATCCCCGGTGCGCTCTACCGAGCCGGAGAGCTCCGCTGCCGGGGAGGAAAGTGAAGGCGCCCTGCTGCAACTCGACTCCTCCAGCAGCAGCAGCCTGGGTTAGAGTCACTTCCTGAATAGCTGAATGTGTTAAAAGCAAAGGGACATACTGGATAAAGGGGGTCTGAGCGGCCTGACGGGGTGGCTTCTATAACTCATGGGAACTTCTGTGCGCGTGCGTGCCGTTGCGTGTCGTCTGATGGGGCTTTCATCTGCATGCCTGTGCTTATGTGATGTGTATGTTTGAACGTACGTCCGATGCTTGCGTGAGAACGAGTATATTTTTACTGTGTGTTTGTTTTCTGTGTGGTATGCATCTGCGTGCATATCTTTGCGCATTGTGAGCTTGTGCATGCGTGCGTGCAGCTCCAGACTCAATGTGTTTCTAATCAGCTGTGCGTGTGAGTAGAGTTAACAGCTGCCATCTGGGAAGGAACCTCAACCTCTGTGTACTGAACACACACACACACACACACACACACACACACACACACACACACACACACACACACACACACACACACACACACACACCTCCCTCCCGTCTTCATCCGAGCTCCACCAATACATACACATACCTCACATCCTCACATCTTCTCACTCATTTGTTTCCCGCCCACACTGGCATACATTTGTATTACCACACCCAAGGTATGAACATTAACTACAGGAGAAAAAGGAGAGGGCAAGTCTTCACGTTTTTCTTCACTTTTTTTTTTTTTAATGTTTCAGAGTATGTAGGTTTTATTTATTTGGGTATAAATCTCCATGGATATGCCCATAAAATGTGTTAAAGTTGGTCTTTTCAAAACGAAGCAATGCAGAAGTTAAATATGAATCCAGTATCTATCAAGGTAAACAGATTGCCAATTTAGCTGCAACAAGATTGTTGTGGTGGTAAAGTTTGTTCACCAATGAGTTGAATAATTTAACTGTCAAAGACTTTTAAAAAAATACATTATTGCAAAAATACTTATACTTTAGGTGAATCAGTCTATTATGCTGCTCCAGATCTGTTTTGTGACCTATTGTTTTTACCCCGAACCTCATGCCGGAAACCATCTCATTTAAGATCGAAGTTTGTTAAAGAGCTGGACTCTCGAACTGAGATTCTCTGAAGTATATTAGATCTGTTAGACTGGTATCTCCAAAAGAAACTGATCCAATGATAATTTAAATTATGTTTTTTTTTTTAAAGATTAAGAAGAGAACACGAAGAGATAAATTCCCCATTAAATTGAGGCAAAAAAAAAAAAAGACAAACAGTTTAAGCTTAAGAAGAAATCAATCTGAGTGGCACAAATGTATGTCTTTTTTCCATTTCCTTTGAACCTTATAAGGCTTATATATATACATGTATACATACATATATATATGCCATACAAGGGGGCACACAGCAGTATTATGCCATTTTTGCTTTTCTCTTCTCTCAATGTCTCATGACCCCTCTCATGTATTTTTCCACCACTTGTGAGGCCCCACAGACCCCCAGGTTGAGGTAAACATTGCTTTTTTGAGGTTCAGCTCAGGACATGGAAACAAACATGAAAGTATATTAGATCAGTGAGTCTTTTTTTTTTCCCTGTTCGATAAGTGTTAGTTAAATTCTAGTGCCTCATAAACTCCTGCTGGTCTACATATAAACCGCTAAATCACTGATTCATGTGAAAAATCCGCCAGCAGAAGAGTTGCCTCAGTACTGCAGCTTTAATCACTTGGAAATACTTTTGTTGCCAGGAAACATTTGAAGAGATTTTTTTTTTCACCCAGCTTCTTAATTCGTTGGCAGTTGCTGTTGTGTGTCCGCATTGCCCAAAAATTGCCCGCATGGCCCGCCGCCACTACGGAGCGGCAGCGAGCCTCGTTCATTAGAGAGTAACTACTGTTTGACTCCATGTGAAGCCAGACCACACCACACTGGGAAAATGTTGTGGCAAGGGATGTGGCCTTAAGGAGTCAGTTTGGTGGCTTATGGGCAAAATACAAAGGAGTCATGTTGAGATTATACAATGAAAAAAGTCTCTATATAAATGTCAAGGTCAGCGGTGGATTTGGGTGTGTGGTTCTTCATGCTGTGAAATGAATCAGTGGGCCAAAAGTAAACTTCATGATTTAGTTAGAATTCCCATTTCACCCTTTATTGCGCAATTTGTAACTATAATACATGGAAAAATGTACGAAATAGTTTAAAAGTAGAGCTGAAAGTTTTGGAGGGATTTTGATAAATTGTTGCCATACGACAGAGTGATTATGGATAAAACCAAATCCCACTTTAAGGCAAGATTATCACAGTCTTTTTGGCCCACATTTAGATTCATCTGGACACCTACATTGTTGTTTTTGAACTGAATGTGGAAGCTGGCAGCATTTACCATTCCAAGTTTGGTCCCCTGTTTCCTGTTGCTTTTATTAACAAAATAATAAAGACTAAGACTAAAAAATAGCATGAAGAATTTTAAAATGAAAACCAACTGGTGTCCAAGAGTCACAAAGAAAACATGGCTAATACCAAACTCATGTCTGCCTTTTAAATGTGAAGCTATAGTTAGCTGCTAATAAGCCTAGCTAGCATAAAGATTTAACAACAGCTTCAGAGATAATAATACATTGATTTTTATGCTTCTGACTAGGTGTTTCCAGTCTTTATGCTATAAAATTAAGCTAGTTGTCTCCAAATAGTGTACCAAGGAATACGAGTGTGCAGTGAGGAACAGTGTAGATATGCCTTGGGATTCACCTCAGTGAATGGTCACATTATGATGGTGCAGCAGTTTGAGTGTCAGAGTGATCCTGGAGGTTATGTTGTTGGGGGCATTTCCTCCAGGTTGGGTCTCCCAAGACAAACTGGTCTGTGACTGAGACTTGGCTCATTCCAAAAAAGCTCTGAATGTGACACATGGTCAGCATTTTTTCCTGTTTTTTGTGGACTGTATAAAACTGTCTGATAAGGTGCCGGAGACAAATTATATCCTAGGATTAAACAGCAATGCTTTTAGTGTGATGGTAAAAACTGTGGGCAGATGTTCACATTGGTTCTTCCATGTAGAGTGGAAGTCCGGTCTGACAGAGCTATAAATATTGATTTGACTGAAGTTCACCTATACACACAAACTACTTTTTCTTTTAAATATAAGCAACACATTTAAGGCATATACATTTGTCTACATGTAAATTCTGTTTCATTAATTTCATGGACTCTTACATGTCTGGATTATGACATTTGTCACCTTCCTAACCCCAGTGTCTGCATTATAACCCTGTGATGTGACACGAGTCTGGCTCAGGTTGCTCAGTACCACAAGAGACAGAGTTCAAAGCACGAGGTCAGATGTTAGAGGTGTACTCGTGGAGTATGTGTTTCTCGAATTGCTTGCTTTTCGTTTGATTGAGATTTAAGAGGGGCATCCAGCAAACAGCGACTTTCCCAACTCCTAATTTAATTTTTTAAGCAAGGAAATGTATGGTGTGATGCTAGTGGAGCTTTTTACTAAGAACACAAATACCGCTGTAATGCTATGTTCCTTCAGGCGATGTAATCAGAAGAAATTTTAAATGACAGATGTAATAGAGGCTTCCAAATACCACTATTTGCCTTAAGATTTTGGCTGGCTATCAAGTACACCTTGTACACAAAATGTTTTAAAATCACTCAATAATGTTAAGCAGCTGTTTGCCTCAGATTTTCTAAAAATGTCAAACGACTTAATCCTCTGTCAGTGCAGCTAGTTGTTTCTTATCTATTTGCTAAGCTAAGTTACTAAACTGTTTGGAGTAGTTTTGCATTTTCCGAAAATTACTTCTATTTCCTAATTTATATTAAAAGTGACAAAAATGCTGCACTTGCTTTTAAGACATTATTGCGGTAAAATTCCAGCATGTGCATTTTCCATATGGTAGCAATTACAGTAAAATGAAGGGAAACTGATGTGTAAAGCATGATAGAAGCACACTGATGATAAAAAATGAATCCTTACTCACCACAAATTGTGTTTACAATATTTTGATTTTCATCTAATGAGTCTCTCTCACGCCAGAGGTACAAGAGCAGGGCAGTTGCAGAGCTAGCTATTATTGTGTGGTTAAGGGGATGAAAAGCAGATGAATAATTATTTATTGTCATGTGGATGAAAAGGTGTAAAGTGAACAGAACAAAGTGCTGTTCTTTGGGAGCATGGGATTATAGTCAGTTTAAGCAAGCAGGCAACTTGCCAACAGAAAAAGATTTTCTAATTCATATAATTTGTGGGTGTGCCCTTCATGTGTCCGGACATTCATCCCAACCTTTATGTATTTTCAGTTCCAGACAAAAACCTGGCTGCCTCTCACGCAGGTCACTCAATCGACATCCCCAGCCCGACACCTGCGTCCAGTCAGCGGGCAGGGATGCATTCCCCACCTCCACGAAGGGATCACTTCAATAAGTTCAGCGGGACCTATGAGAGCCTGCCGGCACGCTCTGTACAGGTGAGACAGCTTATGTCTAAGTATTTCATATAATCTGCAGTTTCAACCTCAACTGAACAAATGACCGTAGAAAGAATCAGCTGCAGCAGCTGCAGCAGCCGTCTGATTGGTTGACCTTAAGTTTGTTCCAAGCGCATATTCAACTTTTGTAGACACGCCATCGATTGCATGTAAGTCAGTCCAAGAAGAAGGAGGCTTCCTCAGCAGATTTCTCTTTGGTTTCCTTCCATTTTCCCTTAAGATTAAGAGGTTTTCCTTACTTGGAGAGTTTTTTCTGTATCCAAACCAAGGGCCGAAAGACTTAGGGTATATAAGTTAAAGTTTTTTGAGACAAAGCAAACAGACTTTTAAACACTCACACATTTAGTTGAGGAAATATTATGCATTTCTTTACTATGACTTAAGCATTTTGCAGGGCAGCTGCTGAAATATGTTGTAATACTGTCTCAGAATATAACAAGGTGAGAGTACATGTACAGTTTTCACTGAATTCTGTGGTTTACTGGGTAAAAAAGATTGGTCTTTTGTACCTGAAGGACCCAAATTCTGGACTTGCAGACAACACAAGGTAAATGAAAAATAATCCTTGATTAGGTTGAAAGTCCTTTACAAAAGTTGAAAATTCCACAGCTGCACAATACATGAGGGAATAAACACAGAGAGGAAAACAGACTATTAAAATAAAACAGGAAGTAACTGCACAGCGAATCACGTGAAAAAGAAGAAGACTTGACAACGAGAGGGTGGAGAAGCAAGCATGTTCCTCAAAACATAAAAACATCCCACAAATAAAACACATAACCCAAACTGTATTATATTAACTAAAACTCAAAATTATAAAAACCACAGGACGTGACAAACAAGAGGTTTTAAACACAGCCAGACACCCAGCCTACTTTCTCCTACAGGCCTGGAGTCATTTTGAAAAAGTCTGAAGGCAGCTAAATTTCACTGTGGCAGATTTTATATATTAGGTTTCAAATTAAGCTAAAGAGGCTTTCAGGGAGCACATCCTTAAAAGGGGTCAGTGCCAAGAAAAGGATCCAAATCCACACATAAAAAAAGCTTGTTTTCTCATAGTTTATCTCACCACGATGTTAAATGAAACTCTTAGTACATACAAACAAAACGTAGTGATCACTGCCTCAGTGCTCTCTAAATAGAGAAGGGAATAAATAACGTCTGTTTGCCTTGACGTTAACAGAGTAGTTAAAGTCCCCTTTAACTACTTGGTGGAGACCACAAGAATGAACACTTTCTAATATTTTTTCTTTGCTTTTTATACATTATTATTATTATTATTATTATTATTAACTCCTCCAGTTCTGATAAGACTTGGTAAGGATGTAGAGTGGGGTCATGTCAAAAATCCATTAAAATTTGGTCTGCATCCATCAAGGTCTTCAAGGTCAACTTCATTATTTATTAGTTGAAAATTGTCAAAAAGGCTCATAACTTACAAAAATATGATTCTATGCCGTGTTTGTAGAAAGTACCATAGACAATCTTAAAATATCATGTTGCATTTGACCTTTGACCTCTCCTTAAAGGTCAAAAGATTGATCTGAAGGTCAAAGTAATAACAATGGTTTAAAGAGCTATTTAAAATTGTGCTTCTTACTGCCAGTTTTCTTACTGAGATTTGAATTGTTAATTAGATATATTTTTTTGTGTGTGTGACAATGTTTGTGACGAGCCTCTTATCTTTTTTCCAGGTTTCTGAATCTCGTGTGGTCGAGTGCCCCAGCATCCAGATAACCACCATCTCGCCTGATGATGACACAACACCCACCATTTCCAGTTACTGGGACATGGGCAACAGCGGCGGTTGGGACAGAGAGCGCCTTTACCTGCCTCTACTGGATCCTTTTACTTATCGTGACAGATGCCCCAGCTCCCTCAGCCCCAGCCCCGCCTCTAGCCCCTCCTCTCGAGGCTGGCTCAGTCCCGCTTCCAGCTGCGACTCTCTGCTGGTGGAGGAGGAGGAGCTGAACGAAGGCAGCATCAATTTTGGGCACTCATCATCCTCAAGGCCCACCTCACCTAGTGGGAAGAAGCGTAGAAACTCCCCGCTGGTGTCTCCCTGTACTTCGCGCAGAGGGAGTTACTCAGAGGAACTGCAGGGGTGCAACCTGGAGGGTGGAGAGTCCACCCCTCACTCTCAAGCTCCGCCCAGCAGCTGTGAGCTCAGCATTCCTCAGAAAACCAGGAAAACATCATTGGAGCAGGTAAAGTGCTGTGTGTGATCTATTGCCTTTACTTAGGTGCCACCCTGCCAAACCTGGAGTAGGCCTCTCAAAGCAGCAGTATAAAATTCTGTTTTCTAACTCGGCTCCTACTCTTAGACCTCAAGCTGCCATCCCTGTCTAGTTTGTTTGTTTGTTTTTAAACTAAAACAGAAATTACAAGAGAGGGTTCAATCTAACTGTCAAGCCAAGGACACTGCACAGTCACACAGTAAAAAAACTTGTGGAACTCAAGGTAGCCAAGCCATAATGAATGTCCAGCTTCATGATTTATTTGAGTCTATATGTGACCATCATATATCAAATGAACACCAAGCTGTACTGAAGAAGACTTGAAACCAGTGACTGACCCATTAAACTTATCAGGAAAATGTTCAGTGAGGCAGAAAATCGAGTGAAAACTCAGTGATTTCCTCATTGACTTCTATGTAATGGCGCTCGCAATGAGAGGAGTCGCCCCCTGCTGGCTATCACAAAGAATGCAGGTTCAAAGGACCTTTATTTCAGAGCCATCTATACAGTGTATGCTCATTTTATGTTGCTTTTACTATGCTTCTGTCTAGCATCGACACTAAATATGCATTTTAGCAAATACAAAAACTGAAGCAGTTTAAGTCTTAAAACAGTTTTCAAGAAAGCTAAAAGCTGCAACTTTTGAATGATACAGACACCTACGTTTTAGTTCCTGATTGGATGTTTAATTTGCAAAGATTAAACTCTGTTATGTTTTGAGATTTCATTTTTATCGTATGGGTATTTCTTTCCCAATACCTTGGCTTCCTCTGGTGATGGATAATGCTATGTTGCTGTATTTACTGTGCAAAAACTCCCAGTCTGTGTGTTCTGGTGCTGTGGCTGCTTTATACTTGTGTTATTACTGAACCCTGATGTATTCATCAGAGTGTGAGAGTGTGTGTATGCTCAGAAACCATGTAAAGGCATGGAATGTGTGTATGGCTGGGTGAAAAAAAGCTCTCTGGATGCTCAGTTAGAACAGAAAAGTGCTATATCTATATCTAAGTATCAGTCCATTTACTTTCAGCAATAGTTCCACATGATTGCCGGTCCAAACAGTTTTGCCATTACTATACTTCCTCTGTAATCTTTTGTAGAGATAAGCAGGCCCCTCTGTGTAGACGGCCTGCCTATAATCCACGTGCTTGGACATTATTGCATAAATGTTGCTAATATTGCATTAGTGTATTAGTGTAGATACCTCCAAAAGCTGACCATGATGTAATTTTCAGGCTGCATTGGCATGTTTTCTTACTCCTTTATTTTGTGATCTGTTCCTTGCCATAGTTTTGTTGACTTTGCTTTAGAGTACATTAGGGTTCCCTTACACAGAAATAAGGAAAACAACATTTACTTCTTTCTCTAAATCTATAAAACTTTGGTTTTTGGATAATCAAACATGTTGTCATGATTTGAGTAGTGTCAAAGAAAGTCTTTGATTCTAATGTGTAAGGATTTTTAACATTTGATTTTTAATATGTTATATGGGCATTGTAAAGATGCCTGGGTCGTTGACCCAGGGTTTTTGAGTTTATTTTTTATTATTTCTAGTCTTTGGTTTCTTTGAGTTCTGTCTTATGGTTTATGTCTCTGTCTTCTCTAGTTGCTCTCTCCCCTGTCAGCTGTATCCCCTTGTCTAGTTCGCGTCTCTGTGTATCCTTAGTTGCTATATCCCCGTGTCCAGTCAGTGTCTGTGTCTGCCCTGGTCCCACGTCTCTGTTCCCTCTGTTGTAGTACCTGCATGTGAGTCTGTGTCTTTTGTTCAGTCTGTGTTATGGGTTTCCTGTTTTACTTTGAAAGTCCATGTCTGATGTTAATGTGTCTGGTTTTGCTTCCCCTTGTCTCGTTAGGCCTGATTTGCCCCAGCTGTGTTTCCCTCCTGTTACCCATTCCCTGATTGCTCCCTCTGGTCGTGTCCAAATTCATGGGCTGCATCCTCCTGAGGCCGCATTTGTAGACCGATTACGTCACAGCGACGCGCCGAAGGCTGTCCAAATTCGTAGACTCCTCCGAATGCAGCCGACAAATGCGTCCTCCTTTTCCCCGAATTTGAAGGATGGGTCGGGTGTGTCCTTCGTGGCCTACCATATCCCAGAATTCATAGCGCGGCCCAGCCAAACTCCAGTTTCCAACAATGGCGGCCGCTACTAAGTTTTAAAATTACTCATACTAATCTTTCTGGGTCACAAAATAAACTTTTAACATATTTTCAGGCGAGAAAGTAGTGTGTAAACATCAAATATCTGCTCGGTTTATCAAGATATCGCATATTTGCAAAAGTGCTTCGACGTTTTCGGAGGCGTCTGCTACCCACCAGCTCGATAGCTAGCCGGGAGCTCGAGGGTTACTGATGCGGCCGAGAACGGCACAACTCCCGGCACATCATTTTCAGATCACCGCGGACTTTCGCTGCTCGGGTTAAACGTAATATATAAGTCACTTAGACAACCTAAAAATGTTATTGTTGGGCTTTTTTCAGTGTTTTGTTTGTTCGTGAGTAAATCGGTTTGGCTGAGATTAAAGTTATTAGATTAGATTAGATAAAATAAAACTTTATTAATCCCCCGGGTTAGAGATGGACCGATCCGATATTACGTATCGGTATCGGTCCGATACTGACCTAAATTACTGGATCGGATATCGGAGAAAAATAAAAAATGTAATCCGATCCATTAAATATCACGAAAGCACCTCACAAAACTTGCAACACGCCGTAACTCACCTCAGAACGTTAGCACGTCGGAGCAGTATGCATCACGTGATAGAGCGGCTGTGGCATGCGGGACCTGTCGGTGGTCTGGATAGCATTTGGAGCTTCGCTAGCAACCCGGCATTTCATCTCCGACAAAGTTATCCCCGAGAGAAGTAAAGCAAGTGTGTAAGTCCATCTCTGAATGTTTGTAAAGCATTCCTGCGTTAAGCTTAACAAACGATATATGGAGCGACTGCCTCTTCTTGCTGCTACTTCAATCATGAAACTGCTTAATGATCAGCTGATCGGCTTTTCTGTCGCGAGTCCGTCTCTCTTGTTTGTTTTTGGCCCACTTTGCACCAGAAAGAGGAAACCAGCGGCTGAACAACAGCAGCACGTTTAAGCTTGATCAGCTGTTGTTAGAATTTATTTAATATTACTTTCTACACCAGGATCTTTTTCTACGTAGCTGACGGCTGGTAACTGTGCAGGGGCGGATCTAGCAAAGTTTAGCCAGGGGGGCCGATAGGGCATTAACAGGGAAAAGGGGGCACAAAGACATACTTTTCTTTCTTATTCTCATTTAAAATGTCTAGCTTTTAATAAATAATTATCTGACACCCAAAGTTTTAATTTGATGTAAAATGAATAGAAGTCAATTACTGTATATAGTAACTATTAAGTCTAATATACCCTAGTAAGCTATAGTACTTTTTCCTTTGGGAAGGTACCATCTGTGCAGTCTGCAATTTTGTTGAAGAAAGATGTTGAATCTATTTAATATTTCTTGAAAAATAATTGATTTCTGTGCATTTTTTTTCACACTGCATCAAATTAAGGTTGATTACGTTGATTAAGCATCATGAGGTGGAGCGTGAGGGGTGGTTCCCTATTTTTTATTTATTTATTTTTGTTGTTGCTGGGAGTTGGAACCCTATTAGTTAGGTTGCTTAATATTTAGCTAAGTACTCTTTAAAATACCAGAATAGGGAGGATGGTGTAGGTTTAAGTTTATTAGATTGATCAGTATTGCTGAACTATGAAATATTTTTTTTTGCATACAGGTATAACAGAATAGCTTTAGTGTAGTTGTTGTTTTAAACTTGAGTATGAACTTATACAAAATGCAGCAAGATATTTAAAAAACAGTTTTGTTGATTAAAAAACACTATATCGGATTCATATCGGTATCGGCAGATATCCAAATTTATGATATCGGTATCGGTATCGGACATAAAAAAGTGGTATCGTGCCATCTCTACCCCGGGTGGGTTCCTCCTTGGTTTTTACACAGCTGACTAAACGTCAAACAGAAAACTGATTAAACAGAAGTATGAGACAGTCGAGAATTTACGCCAGTGTCCTGTTATATTTTAGATAGCAAGAAGCAGACGGCTGAGTTTATTAAACTCCACCGAGACAGCGGTGACGCTAATCAGAAGGCTAGACCGTCCAATTTCACGGCCGTTTACTTCCCGCCTACCCGACCTTCTGAGGACCCGGCCCACGTAGACCGCGAAGGCCGGGTCCTCAGGAGGATGCAGCCCATGAATTTGGACACGACCCCTGTGTATTTGAGCCCTGTGTTTCTTTGTGTCTGTGTTGCGATCTACCGTTTACCTAGCTGTGTCCTGTCAGTCCTCCGGTGTAAGTTTAGTTTGATTTTTTCCAGTTATGTTATATTTGAGTTTAACATTAAAGCTGTTTTGAGTTCACATCTGGCTCTGGAGTCTGCACCTTGGGTCCTATTCCTGTCTGCACACAGCCCACACATAACAGGCATGTGTTTATTTTTAGATATGTTTCTCTCTTTTGGCTAGCCTCACATGCCTGTGTATGTGCGCTTTTGTTGGTTAATTTAATATGTTATCAATAGGCAGGGACTACAGAAGAAAATTAGCTCGTGCGGCTAAATCTGGCACATTCACATGATGAATTGTTTAAATAAACAAAAACATAAACATACAGAGAAGACTGAAATATAAAAGAAACATAATAGAAATAGCAAAGCAAAAACAAGTCTGTGGAGAACTAAAGAGGTGAGATTTTTGTGTTGCAGTTATCTCCCAGGGAGGTGGACCAGGAGCAGGCTCTGGGCCACAGCTCTCCCTGCCCACTGCCAGAGACCCAGCAGACCAGGAGAGAGCCCCCATCTGTGGGCATGGACTACCTCTCTGTTCCCCCTCCTCTGGCCTGGGGCAGAACCCGAGCCAGCGCCCACAGCCCTCTATTCAGGCAAGGACAGCATCACTTTTCAACATTTCAATCCTGTAAATTTACTTGCTTCTCTCCATGTGGGTCTTTCTATTCTTACTGCATCTAAAATTCTCACATCTGATTTATTTCAGGTCTAACGCCCTGCCGCCACTTGATTGGCCTCTGCCATCCCAGTTTGACCAGTATGAGCTGCGTATTGAGGTCCAGCCTCGGCCACACCACAGAGCCCACTACGAGACGGAGGGCAGCAGAGGAGCCGTCAAAGCTGCACCGACTGGACATCCTGTTGTCAAGGTGAAAACGAAATTTCTCAGGGTTTTTTTTTTTCACCTTTAACTGAGTTATATGATATCAGATCTAATTTAAGGTTAACATGTCTTTGATCATGTTCACACGACACTGGAACAAATTCTTTGGCCACTGCTGCTGGCCTCATCGCAGTTTGATTTCACACTGCGTCTCTCTCTATCTTCACAGCTGTGTGGTTACACAGAGAGGAAGCCGCTCTCTCTTCAGGTTTTCGTTGGAACAGCTGATGACCGATCAATCAGACCACATCCTTTCTATCAGATACACAGGTACTGAGCTGCAGTATTTTTCTATTTAAACACAAATGTTTTCTTCATGCCATAATGTTCAAGGAACACAAAATTCAGGGGACCCATCACGTGACTGTCGTAGCTTTAACCATTGTGCAATAAACCACCAGCTGGTTCTCGTGTTGGTCCAGAAAATGTGTTACAACAGTTGTTGTTAGTCCCTTCCCATAATCCAGAGAATATATTTTTGATTATGATATCCTATATCGAGTGAAGTGCAGATCCAAACTGAGAAAAAAAAACACACCCACACAAATTTTTGTATTTTAAACACAATATTGAGTTCAGTTCCATCTTTGAAAGTAATATAATTTAAAACTGAGTCAAGAGCCCTTAGAGATGGCGTGAGAAGTTCAGCCATCTGGGAGGGGATCAGAGTAGAGCCGCTGCTCCTCCACATCGAAAGGAGCCAGTTGAGGTGGTCTGGGCATCTGACAAGGATATATCCTGGGCACGTCCTGGGTGAGGTGATGTCCCACGGGGAGAAGGCCCTAGGGCAGATCCAGGACATGCTGGAGAGATTATGTCTCTCGGCTGGCCAGGGAATGCCTTGGTGTCCCCCCCAGTCAAGCTGGAGGAGGCTTCTCTGCTTAGGCTGCTGCCCCTGTGATCTGGCCCCGGATAAGCAGAAGAAGATGGATGGATGGATGGATAATTTAAAATTATATGTGAGAGATTCATTTATCATTCAGAAGGGAATGTAGTCAACTCTGCACACCTTAAACTGTCAGTCAATACTAAAAATATCAAAGTAAGTCTACAAGATCAAGTTGGATGAATATTTTTTTAGTGGCCAGTGAAATTTTCCAGCCATTGTATATTACAATGTTTTTTTTAAGTTAATAACATAAGTGCAAGACTTTAACTAATGCTCATTATTTTTTTAAGTCATTAGAAAAAAAGCGAGGGTGATATTAGTGATTATTGATCTCATGTGTTCACAGAACTTGAAGTGACGTGAAAAGGATTATTAATCCTCACATTTTGGAAGCAATTTCACCGTTTTTTGTTCATAAATAACTTGTGTTCTGCTGGGATTTCACTTTATTTTTCTCAGCTGGTAAATTTAAATGTATGTTCCCCTTCAGAGTGACTGGAAAGATGGTGGGCACTGCCAGTCACGAGAGTGTCCAGGTGGGGACCAAACTACTGGACATCCCCCTCAGCCCCGAGAACAACATGACTGCTCTGTAAGTCAGAAGGATGCTCACTGTTCTCGTCATGTTTGTAGAAAAAGGTGTTTTTTTTTTAACACATATGCTGGAGTTGCTTATTATATATGCTCAGGTGGGCTGCTCATGTTTGACTGCTGTGTCATACCTTTGTAACTGGTCTACTTTAAATTTTAAATAGCTCTTTCCCTAAAGTTTCAGTTTTAGTGTTGAGTGAAACTTTTCCTACTCAAAATTATGTCATGAGACAAATCTTGTGTTTCACAGCATCGACTGTGCCGGGATTTTGAAACTGAGGAACTCAGACATTGAGCTGAGGAAAGGAGAAACAGATGTTGGAAGGAAAAACACACGTGTTCGTTTGGTGTTTCGTACCCACCTCCCTATAGTGCCCCCTTCAGGACCCCCTGGACGAGTGTTGGCTCTGCAGGTTGCCTCTCTGCCCATCGAATGCTGTGAGTGGCTGCTTTATGGAGAATTCATATTATGATACAGAATCCTTTTACAAAGGAGTCACATTTGAAACATGCAGTGTCACTTGGATTTGTCAAAGGTTGAGATTTTTTACAATTCTGCAAACACAAGTGCTTTGCTTTATAAACATAATTTTATTTTGTTTTTCACTTCCAGATCTTATTTGATATATTTGATTTTATTCTACTTTTATAATGTCATGTCTTTTTAATCAACCTTATCCTGCATTACTTCTGCTCCACTACTCAAGCTCTTAACTTCACTGATTACTCTTTGTTGCTTTTTTTTTACATTTTATTTTACTTTGTATTTTATGGATGGATTGATGTTTTATTGCATTTTGCTCTGTATTATTAATGGCTTGTCCGTCATCTGTAGAGCACTTTGAGATGCACTAACCTTGATGAAAGGTAGTGTATGATTAAAGTCTGATGACTACATATGCATTTATCGTTTCTCTCCACCACAGCCCAGCGTTCGGCCCAGGAGCTGCCTGTCATCGAGTCGGTCAGCCTCACTTCCTGCTCTGTGGAAGGAGGGGAAGAGCTGCTGCTGAGCGGCACAAACTTCCTGCCAGTCTCTAGAGTCCTTTTCATGGAGAGAGGCACAGGTAAGCGTCCAGAGGAGCCTTGGCGCATTTTAATTTACAGAACTGGCAGTAAAAGTTGATTGGGAATATAATAAGACAGAAAATAATTTGAAATCAGTTTTTAATATTAGGTAAATGATACTTCAGCCCATTAGATTTAGATTAAAATAGTGCTGCAGGAATTCACAGTTAGAATTTAAAATTCTCTAACTGTTAACTTCTCCAACTAGTTAAACATGCATGGGAGAGTTAACAGACCCACTATACATACACAGAGAGGCAAGAGAGGAAATAAAATTAAATGCAAGACACTAAAGACAAGGAACTTCCAAAATAAAATGTGAGAGTCATAACTAAATGGAACAAACACTGAGGGAACAAATAAAAAATGAGTCAAGAACTGAGAAAAGCAAAATGTTCAATTAACATAAAGATCAATAAACTAAAATAAAAATACCAAACAACCTAAAACAGTTCAAAAACCACATTAAGTTATAATACACACACAAAAAATGCTAATTTTCACTATTTCATAGTGAATAGTTCTCTCATATCAAATCATAAAAACTGTCAAAATGCACATTTCCAGGTTCCCACACATAGTTGACAAGCATTTCAAATGCAGAGTGCAAAGGATTTGATGCAATGCTTGTGCAACTAGGTCTAATAAACATTGAAGATGTTGTGGGACAATAGTTTTTATTACAACAAACTATAGGCCCCTTTAAATGGTTGTCTTCACATATTTGAAGTTCATTATATGCTGATAATTTTCACATTCAGGTCTGTGTAATCCAGGTATTAGAAACTTATCTCACATGTATGTCATAATGTGGGGAGAACGTGGACTCAGAGACTCAAGAGTTTAAAAAATCAACAAATCTTTATTCAAGCTGAACATCAAAATTCAACCCAGAATACACACAAAGAAAAGATTATATGATGCTTATTTGATGATGAGTTCAGAATCAGAAGGGGGATACTAAAAGTCTAACAGACATTTTAAATGAAGCTTAATTCAGATGCTGCACTTTTATAATTGACTTGTGTTCATTATGTCAAACCTTGCTCTTGTGCTCTTTTGCATTAGATGGCAAATTACAGTGGGAGGAGGAGGCTCATGTTGACCGTGACAACAGCAATGAGGTAAATTTGTGAAATTTCAGCAGACGCATCCAACACAACTGGAGATGCTCTGATAAATGCTCTGTAATCCCCCTGTATGTCGTCTTTATGCCTTCCAGTGTCTGTTATGTGTGAGGGTCCCAGCCTACAGTGACCTATCTGTCAGTCGGCCTGTGTCGGTCAATCTTTATGTTTCTAATGGGAAGAGGAAACGGAGCAGCACTCACTGCTTTAAGTATTTACCCAGTGAGTATCTAATCCCACAAATAATTTTGAAATAAAGAGATTTATAGTTTGAAATCCAATGTAAATACAACACTTATATGTGGCAGCTGGACATGCTTTACATGAACATCAGTTATGTGTGTCAGTTATTCTCGGTTTCTTCCCTCAGTTATGTTCAAAGAAGATGATCCCCTGCTCTCTCGATCCCCTATGCTGCCTCTGGATGGCGGAAACATGTGTCCTGCAGGGGGTCCACCCAGGATAGACAGAGGCTTCCATGTGAGAGGGGACCAGATGTCTGATGAGCAAAATCTGAGCTTCCACCTACCCCCCTACCCCTCCACCTATTCCTCTCCGTGCCCACCCATAAACTACAATGAGGAGTACTGCTCTAAACCTGATGCCACGGTGGAAGAGCCCGGCGGGACCAGGCCAGCACTATCCGAGCGTCACCCCAGTTTTGAGAACCTAGAGCTGGGCTTCACCGAGCTCCTTCCCCCTCTGTACCCACGTGGTCCGCAGCCTCCCTCACCTTCACCTTCCCCATGGCTGGACTCACCCTACTTGTCCTCTTCACCCTCTCCTTCCCACTCATCCTCTCTCAGCCCTTTCCCAGCTGGAAGTCCTATCTCAACCTCCCCTCTGCCTCCCATCCCCAACTCCTCTTACCCACAGTACTCTGCTTATGCTCAGGAGGTCTGTCCCTCCCCTCCTACCAACCCAAACCCCTATCAGGATATCTGCCCAGCATCCTACTCCCACTATGAGGGCTGGGACCCCCAGGGAAGAGTGCTGGATACAGGAAATGGGGGGGAGAGGGATCCCAAGATCCAGGAGTGTCCATTGGAGTTTACCAGCTCTGCCTCTATGCACCACATTACCTTTGAAGAAGGTGAGACATAGTTTTTTCAAAAAAATGTGATATTTGAAAACTGATTTGATAAAAAAAAAAAAAGACATAAGTGGCTACAAACACAGATACAGAAATGTTGGAGGAAGAAATACAAAGAATTTTTAATATTCTGGATAGAAGAATGAATGGTATCCACTGAAGGGACTTTGCATTTTGGCTGCCACTCTCTAGGTATTTTGGGCGTTTTTTTATTTTGTTTTTCTGGCCAGAAGTGACCAGATTTGGAAGAGAATGTGGAGTCCTAAGATATCTGGTAATATCACCAAATTTGCCATGCATATCTGTTAATTATTGATAAGAAACATAAAAATAAAAACAGAAATTTCACTCCACAAAACTAGATCACAAAGTTCTTGGACAGCTGTACCACACAAACAGCACAACTACACTTAGCAGCCGTTCTAGTATCTAAATGTAGAGGTTATAAAATAACTTTTTATTTTGAAAGGGCAAACTTTTCACAGAGACAATTTGTTGTACCAGACTGTAAACACGACTTTAATGCCGTAAAGCTGGCCATTTTAAAGTGGGTATCAGCGGAAGTTGACTCACTTTTGCAGCCAGTCTCCAGTGGCCACTATAGGAACTGCAGTTTTTAGCACTTCAGTGTTCTTGTTTTTCAGCCCCGGGACTATGATTTTTAAAGGCACTTTTTAAAACAAGTATATTAAATCATGTTTATTAATGCTGAAATATTTTTCTACTCACTGGTGCATTGTCTTTGATCTACAAACACTGCTTTATGGACTGAGAATGTGATATGACATGCAACACAGGCTCTCTGATGGCCAGGATAGCTGGTGATCATGTGGTATTTGGTGTAAAGATTTGGCTACCAGGCCGATTCACAACTTTATATGGACATTACCTGCAGGGTCAGTCATAGTAAAAAAGAAAAGAGCTGTATTTTTGTCAAAATTTGAATAATCTGAATTTATGCTCTCCAAATTAGTTTGCCATTTAATTTGGCCCCAAAAATTGTCTTTTTGATGAGAAAGTGAAACCTTGTTGTAGGTAAACTGGTAGCTTGAGAAACAAAGTGGTTAATTCCAACCTACCTCTTGACTAAAATCAAAGAACCCAGAAAGACTAGTTTTCAAACAGGTAACTCCTTATTTGTAGAGTTTCTGTCTCTTCTAAAAACACCCTCTAAAGTCTCTTGCCGGGTTCTGCTAGGACCTTCTTTCTGCTTCCTGTTACAAAGTGCTTACTCTTAAGGGGTTGCTCGATTGTTTGGGTTTTCCCCAATACTGTGGGGTTTTATGATTATTGATGATTGATTTAACTGCATGGAGTTATTGATGGTGACTTGACTTGATTGAGTTGATAATTGTATAAACTATTTTTGATACATCAAAACTAAAAAATTCTGGTAACTTGAACATAAAAAAAACAACTGTCTTTTGTTTAGAAACTAATTACCAAACTATGTTTTCTTTTGTTTTTTTTGTTTTTTAATCAAATAGCATACAAGTTATAGTCAGTGACAGATATATATAGACAGATATTAGTCAATGTAATGTTTGGTAGCATCTTGTGGTTGCTGGTGTTTTTAGATGTTTACAGTCTTCACTGTAATTTGCATTATAACATTTAAAAAAAGAAACAAAGCATTAACCTTGGTGGTTAAGTTGGGGACTAGATTTTATTTTTACTTGATGCAAGATGTGGTGTGGTGTGCAGTTTTTCTAGATGTTCCAAATACGTAAAAAAAAAAAAAAATACAAATCTCTAAAAAGGGGATGTTGAAATACGATTAAAATAAAGCCAATGAATTCTGAGAATATACATACAATTGATTAGATTAGATTAGATAGATTAGATAGAACTTTATTAATCCCTCGGGTGGGTTCCTCTGGGAAATTCAATTTCCAAAAAAGCACAGCACCGACAGAAGTTACAGAGTTATACACACACACATATATATAAATACAGAGACAATATAAATAAAATATACGAAGGGGATAAATAGAATAAATAGGAATAAAATAAAAATACAAGTGAATTGCACATTTCAAGTATTGAGTCTATTGCACCGTTGACTATTTACAAAAGTATTGCACAAAAGGTATTGCACAGTGAGGTGAAGAGGCACTACAGCTTAGTTGTTCCCCCCTCCTTTGTCCTCCTGTTTCCCCTCCCTCTCCCCTCCAGAGAGGAGTTAAACAGTTTGATGGCGTGTGGGACAAAGGAGTTTTTAAGTCTGTTAGTTCTTGTCTTTGGGAGAAGCAACCTGTCACTGAACAGACTCTTCTGGTTGTTAATGGCCGTGTGCAGAGGATGCCTGGCATTGTTCATAATGTCCAGCAGTTTCTTTAATGTCCTTTTCTCTGCCACTGTCACCAGAGTGTCCAGCTTCATGCCGACCACAGAGCTAGCCTTCCTGATCAGTTTCTCCAGCCTGGATGAGTCCTTCTTTGCTGTGCTGCTCCCCCAGCACACCACAGCATAGAAAAGGACTCCAGCAACCACTGACTGGTAAAACATCCTCAGGAGCTTCCTGCAGATGTTAAAAGACCTCAGCCTCCTGAGGAAGTACAGTCGGCTTTGGGCTTTTTTATACAGGTGCTCTGTGTTGCATGACCAGTCCAGTTTATTGTCCACCCACAGCCCGAGGTACTTGTACTTGTTGACCCCCTCCACCTCCTCCCCCTCTATCTGAACCGGCAGTGGACCTGCTCTAGACCTCCCGAAGTCCACAACCAGTTCCTTAGTCTTTGAGGTGTTGAGTTGCAGGTGGTTTGTGTGACTCCATGCGACAAAGTTCCTCACCATACTTCTGTACTCCTCTTCCTGATCATCCCAGATACACCCCATGATGGCCGTGTCGTCTGCAAACTTCTGAATATGGCATAATTCAGAGTTGTAGCAGAAGTCAGAGGTGTACAGGGTGAAGAGAAGAGGGGACAGCACAGTTCCCTGTGGTGCTCCTGTGCTGCTCACCACTGTGTCAGACGTGATGTCCTTTAGCCTGACGTACTGTGGTCTGTCGGTGAGGTAGTCGGAGATCCAAGCCACCAGGCAGGGGTCCACCTCCATCCTGTTCAGTTTTTCTTGAAGCATACAGGGCCGGATGGTATTAAAGGCACTGGAAAAGTCAAGAAACAGGATCCTGCCCATGCCTGAAACTGACAGTGCAGTATAGGTTATTTTGTATTTTGCAGCAGCAAATTGCATCACGTGAATCTGTGATTTTCTTCTCCTTCCACAGTATCAGAGTTCATCGGGGAGGACATCCAGTCTTACCAGCCAAGCTCACAGATGGACAACCAGCCAAACTGAGCTGAGAAGGTCCCCCGTTTGATATTCAGCCTCATTTTAAATTCCTTATGCACTTGGTATCAAGATGTGTCGCTGCAGTTACATGTAATATTGAAAGGGGATTACCAGGACACTGTAATTATGACCACAGGTAACTGTTTTATAAAGGGAAACTAATATTTGTAACATGTTTTCAAAATAAATTATATAAGAAACTGCTTGAGTTTGAAATGTCTGCAAAACATAGACCATAATCTTTTTTCAGGGGCTGTTTTCATTGATGTTTTTCTTTTGGTCCTGAACTGGGCTTAATCCACAACTGGGGATACCAGCTGCTACTGTTTCTCAGTATATATCGGCTGGTGCAGGGCTGATATTTGACCTCTTGAAAGGATGATAAGGCAGGGACTTTTAAAACAGTTTGAAAGGTTTGTAAGAGATATAGTTTGTTAGAATACCTCAAAGTAGAGCAAGTTTGTTTCAGAATGGTGAAACATGGAGGAGTTGGTGGGTGACTCAGCAGAAGGATGCCTCAGCAGTCTTAAATCAGCAGCTGTTTGAAAGAGTACTCATAGTCCTGCAACCCTTTACAGTGTCCTTTTCTCCTCTTAAAGAACTGTGGCTAGAGGAGAGATGGATGAAAAGTCTTTAAGTCTCGCAAAACATTCAAGGTAATAAAAAGTTTTCAAACAACAAGAAGATCTTAAAGTTGCAGCAGATAGTTTGCTGACACTTTTATGGGTATATATGCTTCACTGCAACCATACATGGGCATGCTGTGAGCTTGAGACCAAAATCACTAATGGTACAGGATAGTTACAGTATAGCTGCCGTGGAGCTCTGAATGTAGCTCTACTGAAGCCATACCGCCTTCATGACACTGACTTTTCCATTTCCTCGTCCTACTTTTCTCTCTGGCTGCAGCTCAGGAAAGGTTGTTAGTTACACATGGAAAGTTCATGACAAGCAAACGTGCCAAAAATAAATAAATGGAAAGCTTGCGTTTAAAGCTGCAAATAGCATTTTAATTATAGCTGAAGAGCACAAAGGGCTGAGTTAAAGGAATCAAATCACAATCAGATAACAGGACAGTGTAGTCGTTGGTATTGATTAGTGCAGATGTAGAATTGCGTGGAAGAACTATTTCATACTGGAGTGATTATACACAGATTGGCCCACAGCATTAAAACAACCAGCACATGAGGTAAATAACACTGATCATCTTGTTACAGTGTTCGGTCCTGGGATTCGTGCGGAGGTTACTTTGACACATACCACCCATCTGAAACAACTCCCCCCC